CATTCTATTCACAGGCTCCATCCTCCTCATCTGCTGACATGAGGCTGGGCCATGGCAGAATCCACAGGAGAGAACAGCCCTGGAGGAGCAAAACTGCTCCTGCTGAACCTCAACCTGGGCTTCACATGTGCTGTCTTTGGGAGCAAAACAGCCAACTCAGGCAAGGGACAGAGGGTGTTTAATAGCCTTGGCTAGGATCAGACTACACTGTGTTACAAGGCTACATGGGATCGTTCCCCTCTCCCTGGAGGTGGGGGAGAATTAGGAAATATCCATTATAAAACTTTCGAGAGCTCTCTGATATATGACCACTCTGCTCCCCAGGAGCTGGGAACCAGCCAGACTTTATGCTCACACCAGGGGTCTGTTTCAACAGCTCTTCTTGGTCAGCACTGGTCTCCAGGCTGCCAAGTGCTCACAAGCATTGCTGTTCATGGAGCTATCACAGACTCCTCTGAAAACTTACATTTCCTTTAACTTTTCCCTTTTTTTTTTCCTTTTTTAAAGCAATTCTTACAAGTCCTTGAAACAAATGGGAATTTAAATAAACCCCCCAACACCCAGAGATACAGAGGAAATGGGGAACACAGCCAACTTGACCAAGATCTTAGTTTACAGAACATATTTTAAGGCCTGGCAAGGACTCAACCATACAACTGCAGAGCTATATGGAGGTTGGCCTTAATGCATAATAAACTTGACAGTGCTTTGCTGGCCAAGTAGGGTGTTATTTTTCCAAACTTGGCTGTTTCAAAAGAAGAAAAGATTAATTTATCTTTCCAAATTTATCATCAGCTTGTGTGTGACCAGTTCTGACCCACCTCCCTGCAAGCATCCCAGCTATGGTCATGGGCTGTGCAATAACACACTGAACACTTTACAGAGCTCCCTGTGCAAACACAGCCATTTCAGGTACCCACTGCACCAGGCTGCCCCTCTCCTAAATTCCAGCTGTACAGCAGGTTTCAGACAGCTATAAATCTTAACCCAGCTTCTTGAAGTCAATGGTGGGTGAGAAGGCTTTTAAACTGAAGTTGTCACCACTGAAGGTTCTCAGGCAGTGAAACTCAAAGCCTTGGAAAAGAGAGGCACGTAAGAAACAAGAGCCCAGATGTACACAAAGCAGCTCCAGCCTTTGCATTCTCCCAAAATACATGTGGATAAACGAGTTTTTAACCAAGTCACTGGAAAGCACTTCCACAGACCTGGATATATAATTATCACCAGCTCCCACCCCCAGCTCGGTGGTCCAAGCTGTTCCTGGCAATGGCTGTGACTTCTCCAAGCTCCAAGAGCGTGGATGCTGCAGAGCAGGGGTCAGCCAGCTGCTGGGACCACACAGCACTGAGAGGGCCTGGGGACTGCAGCACCAGAGCAGGGGGACATGGGCAGGGGCAGGGTGAGAGCTCTGGCAGCATTTGCTGTCTCAGCTGGATGCCAAGGTCTGTGCAGTGAGGGGGCACCAAGTGCAACCGCACACGTTGTGTTCTGTTCACATGCTAAGGGGGCTTCACAAAAGTAAAAATGAGCTCTCAGCCCTCTTGTGCTGCAGGCAAAGGGGTCTCCCCCAAGCTCCCCAGCTGCTCACAGGCAGAGGAGACTGCACAGAGAGCAGCACAGGTCACAGAGGATGCACGAACCAGGCACGTGCCAGCAAAGGGCCCAGAGGCACAAAGCAGCTTTGACTGTACAGAGGAGCACAGAGGTGGGGGAGTGGGTGGGGAGTAGAAAGAAATACATTTTTGGCAGCTGAGATTTTATTGTCTATCTTGTCCCTTCCTTGCCAAAATGTCTACAGAGATTGCAAAATGCACAAGGCCCAGATTCCTCCAAGTCCTGGCAGGGTGAAGCAGTACCTGATTTGCAGAAAGGAGCAGAGAGACTTGCAAGAAGGAATGTGGGGTTGAAAGGTGAGGAAGAGAATCATGGCTGTGCACTGCAGAACACCAAGCAAGCCTTCACTCTTTTCAGAGCTGTCATGCAGGTTTTGATTTCATTATTTATTACTCATGATCATATTTTGTAATATATTATGTAACTAAGAATATAACATGCTCTAGTGTTTACCCTAAATTTTCATTCAGCTGGTACAAGACAGCCAGCACACACTGCCCAGCAGCTCCAGCCTGACCCCAGAGGTGCTGGACTTCCTTAGGGAGATTCCATTCTCTTTGATTAGAAACAGCCCCTTACAGTATTTCACACACAGACATCTCAAAGAACACTGTAAATACATTTCTGCTGCAGCCTCTGCACCCTGTAAGCCAAGGACAGGTGCCCTGCACAGGAAGGGCTGGCACAGAGCTTTGCCATTGTGCTGGCTGTGCCTGCCCAAGCCTTTGCCTGGCTCTCCTGGTGTGCCCCACGTGCCAGCAGGAGCACTGCATGCCCATGGCACACGCAGGGCAGCATCACCCCCTCCCTGCTCACAGGAACATCCCTGGCCTCCAAAGACAGAAGCCAAGGGAGCACAGGTACCCACACTCTGCTGTGCTGTCAACACATGCCAGTGCTCAGGAATGTCACAAGAGCACTCAAGCATCAGGCATTTGCACCACCCTGGATTTGGGTTTTCCCTGTGGGGAAAAGCCACAGCGAAAACTTTGGAAACACCTTTGTGAAAGCAAAGAAACACAACTGACTTTGAAGCAATCTTATCCACACAGGGCTTAGCACAGCCCAGGTATTGCAGCATCTATCCCAAACCACATTCCTGGCCCACACAGAGCACAGGCTCCATGCAGAGACCCAGGTTGGGACATTGCCCTGGCAGGGCATCCTCTGGCACTGCCCATGCACTGGGAGCTCTCCTGGGCACATGGGCTGGGTGGGGGCTCCTGCTCTGTACACACTGGGGTGTCCTCACTCCAAGAACACAACAAGGAAAGGAAAGGGACAAAAAGGCAAAAATAAAAAGCCAAGCTGAGGCAGGTCTAACCTCCTGGAGCTGGATTAAGGACTGAGAAATGCCAGGGAGCATTCCTGGCTGTCATCAGTGAGCATCAGCTGCACCCCTCATGCAGCTGGGGATGCTCCTATTCAGACATCCCCTGGCTCCTTCCCTGCCCCACAAAGGAGCCAGCAGCACCAGGGGAGAGGACAGGCACATCTGAGGGGCCCTTGTGCATCCTCCTGTCCCCATCCCAGGGGCTCAGGATGAGGGCTGGCCCCACATGCCCTTCATGATTACCTGAAACCTGGAGACTGACCCCAAGTCTGTCACGTAGAACAGAGCATTTTTACAAGGGTTAATTGGAAAATTAAAAGCTGCTTTAGAGTAGAGGAACTGGCTCCTGCTGAAGGAGCCACAGGCTTGAGCTGGGCTGTGAAACTGCCAGCACAGAGAGGGCTGCAGGCAGAGCCAGGCCCCCCCAGCTTTCCCTGTGTGCTGAATCACCTGGAGCTGCCCAGAGATCCTCCCCTCAGGAGGAAGTGATGCTCCTCATCCTCATCCCTCTGCTGCCCACAGAAACTGGCCACAGCAGACACCCCCTGCTCCTGGCAGTTTTGCTTGAAGGAACAGGGATGGCACACTTTGGGTTGCTACAAGGAGCATGCACCTTGCAAACCACAGGGGAAAATAAAAGAGCCAGCCTGCCTTCAAACTTCTTTTTTTATGCTTCTCTTCTCCTTTGCTTTCTGATATGCTTTATACATGCATATAAACACATATACTGGCACCCAAATGTGTTAATATTGGGTAGGGTTTGTTTCAACAGCAGTGGCATTTTCCACATTCCATCCCAAAACCAGACCCATTTTCCAATCCCAAAATTATTTGTGCTGTCTTGTTAAACTGCTCCAGTTAAGGAGCAATTTAAGGATGGCTACAAGCTGCCAAGACCCTTCATTTTAAGTGGCAGACATGTCAAATGAAGACTTGCTTTTTAATAACCATAACCAGTGAGGCCCCAAGTTCTTTGAGCATCTTTCAAACTTCAGCATGTTGTAAAAATTCACCAATTTCCTTCACTCTTCCAGAAAGCAATTCCTATAAAGCACAGTCACAGCTCTGCCATCAACCCCTCTGAGGTTTCTATAGGCTTTCATAAAACAATGAACACTGGATCCTGAATAAGAATCCTCCAGAATCTGAAGCATGTTAAAGGTGAAAGCTCTGGCTGGCTACACTGAGCTCCACCACCAAGGACTGCTTCCCAAGGAAAGGTTGTAAGAACCAAGTGACCCTCTCAGACTGACTGAACCATGAGTGAAAACAAAAAGGCACCAGAGTTTGACATTAACTGGAAAATCCCAGAAGCATCAGAGTAAAGTTCACTGAACTGCAGCTGCATGTAGGAGCATGGCAAAGTTGGCTGCCACACCACTCTTATTCCAGAGCAAGATGTGCCTGCAGAAAATCAACCTTAATCTTTAAGATTTTCATTACCACATCCTCATGTGCCTTTTAAAAACATGTATTTTACCAATCTGAATATTTTAAGAAAACAATGGAAGCTTTTACACCACAAAGAAAATATTCCAACAACTGGTTGTGATTGCTGCTTTACAGGATTTGCTATTACTATCTACTGTTACTTTACTATCTCACTGAATTAAGGCAGGAAGTAAAGGAATTAGGGACAAAATCCACAACACAGGACCTTCCTCACAGGCCTTTTCTTCCTAGGACAGGTTTGATTAAAGGTCAGTAAAGAGACACTTGCACTGAGTGTTTGCTATGCAGACTGTAGGAGAATGTGCCACTGAGCAGAGCCTACCTGGGAAGTTACAACCCAGATTTCAAGTAACTTAAAAGCTTTTGAGTATTTCAGACTCATTGCAGAGCACTGAGCACACAGCAGGGCTGGGAAAGCATCATCAGCCCCATTCATGTGCATGAAGCATCAGCTTTCAAGGCAAGGAGAGAGCCAGCATGCTGAGATCTTAATACTTCAATTAGTTCTAGAAATCAGACACAGCTCCTACCAAGTTCTCAGGACTGAGCATGTGGCAAAAGAGCAACAGAAGAAAGATGCAGAAGAGGCTCCAAGTCTTACCTGGTGTACACAGGACTTAGCATTCAGAAAAAACAGTTCCACTGTAGTTTTGTCCTTGAGAAAGGAAATGCTTTCAATGTAGAACCTGAAAATTAAAAAAAGAACCAAAAACCATGAGTGACTCTCTTGAATAGGTTTCATCTTCCTCCCAAGTAATTTTATTTCCTCAGTGTTTTGTTCTCCAGCAATAAAATAGCACAGAGGAACTATGAGCTACTGCACTTAATTTCCTGCCTTTTAGGAGGGAACAAGCAGAAATCACAGCCTGACAGCACACAGGGGACAGGGACTCCTGGTTCAATAGATCCTGGGTATCTGATGACTTTTCAAATTAGATGAAAACCCTGAATGCTACAGGAGCAAAGCCCATCTCTCTCCCCTGCAGGTAAAGTCACAGCAGTGGAAAAAGCCACTCCAAACATGGTGGGGAAATCAGTCCAGCACTCTGCTGGAAGACAGGGGTGTCTGGCAGCCCTGCAGGACCACCTTGCCTCCAGGAGAGCAGAGATGTCAGTAAGAACCCTTCCCTTCACTCCAGCTCCAGATGCTCCCACTAAATGCTAGGCAGGAGACACAACTTCCTCCCAGCCAAGCACAGACCTGGGCCCCCAGTGCCTCAGCAATGCAGATCACCCCAGTGTCCTGTCCTGGAGGGCAGGGGGGCTGGATGACCCACACAGGGCAATCAGAGCCAGACCAATCTCTCCCACAGCCCCAGGCTGCTCTTGAGCTCCTGACAAACTCCTCAGGCTCCATCCCCTGACTTTTGACTGATGATCATGGCATGGGTGATCTGTAGGACCTTTGAACAAGCCCCCAGCAGCAGCACAGAGCACGTGCTAGGGAGCAGAGAAGCTGGGACCTGCCACAGGTGTCAGGAATGCTTGCAGTGTTTATGCTGTGACTTCAGAAAAGTGAGACATTAAATAGTAATTGCTTTAATATTTCACATTCCTGCAGCGTGTCCCATTGAATTAATTTTAAAGCACTCTCCAGAAGGCCTCTGCAGATGATTTACCCATTTCACAGGCATGCAGCCTGGCCAAGGGGCAGCTCAGCAGCCTGCCCCACACATCTCAAAAGCTGTTCTACATTTCCATGACTCACCTTTCCCCATGAACTCTATGAGCCACAGGTATTTCCACCTTCTCTTGATCTCACCTGATGTATTTTTTTTCCCCCATAGCTTTGCTAAATTTTACTTTAAATACCCTTGAGTGTTCCTCTTCAGAAATGCAGAGCAGAGGGCAGGACCCACACTCTTCATCCCTTCCCATCCCTCCTGCCAGACCAGCCCTTCCCAGAGTGGACCTTCCTCAGCCTGCTGAAGCCTTCCCTGCACCCTGAAGTGATTTTCCTCAGCTAATGACCTCATTTGCACTTCCAGTTTCTTTCAGCCAGGGCCAGGTGTGGCTGAATTACCCTCAGAAGCAGGACAGCTCTGGTTCTGAAGAGAGTCAGCTCCCAGTCACTCCTGTACAATGCAGGAAGCTGTGGGATCTATGGGTTTAGGGTGAGAGCACAGGGGGCACTGCCCCAATCCCAGCTCCATTTCCTCCATGGTACAAGCTTTACCTTCTCATCCCCCCAGTACAGGTGGGGAACACTGGACCACAGAGATAAGGATGTTCAGGGCATGGCAGGCACAATTGGGAGCACCATGAAGTGCACATTCTGCTTCTACTTCCAGTGCTCAAAGTCCTCAATCTGCATCACAGAGCCCTTCAGCTGAGTGTGCCATCCAAAAACCTCTGTGACTGGATTGAGTTTATGCCAGCTGGCAGTAATTGAAATCTCAAAGGATTATCACATGTTTCCTTATTGAACAGCAAAAGTTCAGGGATGAGAAGAGATGAAGAAAAACCAGCAATCTGGAGATTGCTCCATTTCCAGTAATGCAACTGGAAACTGCAGGTTTTGAAGTGGCTTTTCTGCTGGAGTATCTATTTTCTATGGATCAGGCTGTTTCTGTAGGGCTAATTATTTCTGTATCTTCCTCCTCCTGCTCTGCATCTCACTGTCCACCTCCTTGGTTACCTGTTTTGGATCTCATGACCACAGAGTGGTCAAGCTTAAAATTCCTTTCTGGAAGTTGATCTTTCCAAGCCCACTCCTCACAGATTAACTCCTGCCCAAGTCTCTGCACACCCTGTCCTGTTGAGAACCACCTTGCAACAGAGAGGGCCAAAATGAGCAAAGAGCATAAATTCCAACCCAAAGAATGCTCAAGTTATAGGATTGCCTTCACAGCTTTCTTGGGCAGCCACAGGTTTTGGCCTCCCAGATCCTGATCATTGTAAACACAGTGAAGAGCCCATCACCCCTTCATAAATGGAGCTTTTTCTTTCTGCTAAGTGTGGAAGAGGAGCTCTGGACACCATCACACCCCAGCACGTATTGAGGCAGAACAAAGTGCCACTTGTTTGTCCCATTCCCCTGGTGACCAGTGGGGGACACGGGGAGGCACCAATGCCAACTGACCCAGCTACACAAGAGGCTCTGCTTTGGAAGTGCTTCAAATAATTGAGCACACCAGGCATAAATTTACCCAGATCTGAAAAGCAAATGAGGTCAGTCTGCTCTCACATTCCCTCACAGACTGCAAGGAAAACAAAGACTCCAACAATATTAAGAATATGATGCTTGATCTCTTCTGCCAGCACAGCTCTGTTTCGTAGGATGTGGGGTTTTTTCAGGCCCTTAACCAGCAGAGCTTTGCCAGCAACAGCCCTAAAGTAATGCAATTACATTGGCCAAAATCATCATTTTGCCAGGGGTTTTATTCTTTCCTGGGGACTGGTTAAGCTGTGAGCAAAACAGCCATCAGCAATCCCTTTAAAGTACAGACAGCCCTTAGGTAAACAGAAGGAAAAAAGTAAGTAAAATTGTTTGAATAAAGTGTATTGAAATTGAGCACACTCAAAGAAAAGTCAGGCAAAGAAGATAATTAAAATATGAGGTTTTAAACAAAAAACAAAACCCAAACCCACATTAGGAATCATGTCCTAATAAGAGTTTAAAAAGTAGCAGGTTCCAACCTACTTTATATCATAGTTACATACAAAAGAAAGCAGCACTTAGCCAGGGCCTAATCTCCTTCTAAAAATAACACATTGCTTTGACATTTATTTCCTTTATCAAATCTGTAATCAGCTCCTTTAAACAAAACCCCTTGGTGACAAATAAACCCAAGTGGTAATGTTTGCTTGGGTGGAAACAATTACTCACCTAACGGCAAAGTACAAAGTTGCTGGCCCTGGTTTCTTGGGCAAGTCATGGTCCAGGACACGGTGATCCAGCTGCAGCCAGACACTCTGCCCTCTATGGAAACAGGTTGGGGAGAAGGTTAAAAACTGGGATGGAAAATACAGAAATTGGTTCTTTTCGGTGCCCCCAGCTACTCCAAGTGTTACTTTAAAAAGGTCAAGCCTCAGCTCCAAGGCAAGCAAACATCGAATTATTTCCTTTTTTTTACCTAACCCTTAACCCTGCAAGGCTGAGCCATGGGTGCCCTCCAGAGGCCAACACTCCCTCCAAGCACCCAGCCCTGTGCATACACCAAGGCAGGCCCTGGAATCCCACTGGAGGTTCTGGGGAAGCCAAGAGCTTTCAGATAATCCCCTGGCAGCCCTTTAAACCTCACCGCGACTCGGTGCCAGCAACCAAAACCATCCAGAAGAATTTCATGGCAGCTCTTCTGGGGGAAAAAAAACAAGCCAAGTACAAACAGTATCCTCAAGGGATTTAGAGAAGAGCTGGGGAAAGTATTTTCCAACAAGTGAAAGGACAAAGATGTGGCAAAAACATTCCAGGGATAGCCCAAGATGTGAGAGGCTGGTAAAAATAACAGAGTGCTGGGGTCAGGGCCCCAGAGGGAGCAGCTCCATGGGCTCCAGGGTGTCCCCAGGGCCACTCCTGCTCCTGCAAGTGGGATGTGCCTCAGAGGGTGGCCCCAAACACAGCTCTGATGGGATCTGTAGGTGGAGGCTTCCATCCAGGGCTGCATAAAAAGTGGCAATGGAGAGCAGCAGGAAGCAATGTTATTCCCATTAGACAAGAGGGTTATTTAGGGGCTGTTTCAGTGCACAGCTCCACGTCCCCACTGCCCTGAGCACCTCTGCTCCAGCTTTTTGGGGGAGCTGAAGGTAACTCCTCTGGAGAGGCTGGCTCTGCAGGCAGCAGGTGTGGGGAAGCATTTCAGTGCCCTGCTGAGAGATGAGCCTGAGCACCAGGTGAGACTGCAGCTCATGAACCCAGCTGACTCTGGGCTAATGCCATGGAACACATCTCCCACAGCACCACGGCCAGGCTCAGAGAGAGAAGAGTGGTTCCTGGGCAGGACTGACCTCACAGCTCACTCTGCTCGGGAAATCTGGGGTTAAAAGGCTCAAAAATATATTTGAGATTCAGGTGCAAAGCAATTCATTTTGGAAATAAACGCAAAACCTTTTTGTTGTTACTAAAAGTGCAGAGGAGGAAAGCTGAGGGTGTTCACATGGGAAATTATCACTGAATCAGTTTGTTCACTGTGTGAGACAAATATGAAATGTGAAATCATCAGGAAAATATTTTACAAGGATTGTCTGGTTTGGGCCCAGAAGATATTTTCCAAATATTTTCTATTTTGTGCCTTCCTTTCTCCCCAGCCAAGCAGCACAAGCACAAGGTAGGAAATTCTTTCTTCTTTGAAAGAAAAAGTAATTTTTCCATCATGCCAAGCTGCCACAGTATCAGAGGTAAGGTTTTACATAGCAATAATGACACAGCTGCTTAAATAAATAAACACACTCACGTGTCATCGATAAATGTTATCCCAAAATATTCCTTTTCTTTCAGGTTGAAGTGTGAGGCCACCAGATCCAGCAACTCCCGAGACAAAAGTTTGGGCTGTTGAAAGAATAAAAATAATTTTATTCCTTTCAGTCCAGGCTTTTAATAAAAAATAAAATTTTTCCTGTACAAATACTGACATTTGAGTGGACATGGCCATGCTAAAACCCTGTTGTACAAGTGAATAGAGAAGTGATGTATCAGACTCAGGGTGTCTCAGTGGAGCTGTGTGGGATGTGTGGAGCATGGAGAGGCAATTCTGTGCTTAATCCATGACATTAAGCTGAAGGGCACAGACTGAGTGCTGCTTTCCTCTTTCTGGGGGAGAAGGCAGCATCCAGGCTTTCCTGCACTTATGGCAGGAAGGATTTTTCAATTAAGAAAACCTCGTGTAGTGGAGGATCTCATGCTTTGAGTTCTGTTATGGGACAAAAAACATCCTCAAACCGACAGAGTTTTCTTCCCATCTAAATGGCAAAAAGCACCACCACAAGGGGTGTGTTTAATATCCCGTATGGATTTTGGTGAAAGCAAAAAGTGAATGCAGAACTGATGGCAGGGAAATCCTTCAGCTAATCCAGGTGTCAGGAGAAGCACATTGCCTCAGCAAACCTATTCCACTCTCTGAGTTTTTCTAGTACAACCTGTCTTCAACCCTCACTTCAGCCCCCAAAAGAAAACAAGCAGAGAAACCTGGCCCTGGCTGCCAGTGCCCAGAGAGCGAGGTCAGTACCTGAACCAGCAGCTCCAAGTTCCTGTCATCGAGGAGATGCACCTGGCAGTGCCGGCCCTCGGTCATCTGCAAAGACAGCAGCACAGCCCTGTCAGCAAGGGCAGCATTCCTGGCTTGCACCAGAGCATGTGAGGCTTGGGGACAAGGGCAGGGTGAAGCAAGTGTCTGATTTTGATGGATAAGGGAATTGACTCCATACCCGAGCTGAGAGTCCTTCTCCAAGGACTCCATCTGGGAGCTGCATCAGCACTTGCAGTTCCTGTCAACTTCATGCTGGAATTAAGGGTGCTTAGCAGCACTCAGGATCAGATTAAAAAACCCATAAATGCTGTGAGAATTAAATGTGAGGATGAACAAGCCTGGCCAGTGCCAGAGCCTTGGGCTTTTGCTCCGGTGAGGAAGAAATGACAGGGACCCAGGAAACAGAGATCCATCCAACCCTCCCTGCAGATGGGTCAGCCCAGATCTGGCCCATTGACCTGTGTCTAGAACACATGGAGTAACATTTTCACTTGAGCAGCTATTGAAAGTCATCATCTCCATGGGATTCTTACATAGGAGCTACATACATCAAGAAGGTGCCTGAACTGCATCACAAAGAATGGGATGAGCTTTGCAACCTCTGATGCTGTATCTGAGCCACCTCTTTCATGTCACATTTGTCTCCTGCAAACTAAGTCTCTCTTCCTCTCCTTAGCAGGCGAGCAATTCAGAAATAGCTGCCCATTATGCCCTTTTAGTATCTGCCCTTTGAAATCTAATACATTTCAATGAAAGCTTTTACATTATTTAATATCTGTTCTAATTCTGGGCCTTTCAGCACCTCCAGTGAGGACCAGCTTTGCAACACTCTCCGGGTGAGAGCTGGTGAAGGAAACCTGGCTTTCATATTTGTTCTCCCAGCCTCAAAGCAACTCATTTTCCTGACAGCACAAGCTTCCAGCTGACTATAAATTGTGAGCTGTGAGCAGAGGCCGGGGGTGTTTGCTTAGACAGCGGCTCCCAGAGGGATTAAACAGCAACACACAATGGTTTCCCCTTTCACATCCCTCTGGCTCCGCAGGGACAGGGACAAGGACAGGGCTGAGCTGTGGTGCCATCAGCCCCTCTCATCACCTCCTGCCCCTGTGCATGCTGCACACCCGAGCTTGCAGAGACTTAAAACCAAACAATTTCTGGGTGATGACAGTGGAACCGCAGAGAGCTCGCAGCTCTGCCCCCGTTTGCACAGCCGGGGCTGCCGAGACACAGCGGCCTCTGTCCCCAGGCAGCCCTGTGCCCCCAGCTCCCACACCAACACAGCTCCATTGTCCCACTCATGGAGCTCCTTTGGACCAGAAGCCGAGAGGGAGTGCCCTCCTGAGGAGCTCTGCAGGCAGGTCAGAGATGAGCATCTGCAGGCACAACTCCCTGAAGTGTCCTGGAAAACCGGGCTGCAGCAGCTTTGGGCACTGCTGAGCATCACACTGCCCACCAAAACAGCAACACCGGTACAGGGACTGTCTAGAGGAACAGAAGGACAGAAATACCTTCCTTTGCCTGTCTTACTGCTATGAACATGAGTTTGTGCAGAAGTGCCAGATGAGCAGTGCCACACGGTGAGCAGCAGCTCAGAGCTCAAGGCTGCTCCACCCCAGAGCCAGCAGTGATCTCCCAGCTGCATCCCCTGGTGCTGCTCCCTGCAGAGCATCATCCCCCAGGCCCTGCACTCCCAGCAAGGTACCACCTCCAGCAATTCATCCCTTGGGTCTGGAAGCAGAGCTGCACCACCCCAACTCCAGCTTGCAGCACGCTCCCTGAGATTGCCCTGCTGCCCAAACACAGCACCCAGAGCCCTTAAACCCATTGTGATCCACTCCCAGCTCCATTTGTTCCCCAGAGCTGAAGGGCTGCCATGGCAGGCTCGTAACTAAGTTGCCCATTACCATCAATTAATCATTTCATCAGCACACCCTTCAAGGTGCAGCAGATTTCTGGCTCTGACACACTGTTACCAATCTGCCCCTGTTGGGAAGTGTCGGATCCAATACTGTTTTTAAATCATTCCCCATCTGCTGCTCTGAGATAGCATGAGGGTTTCCATCATTTAATTGTGAGCTGCTTCAGTTTTCACCCAGTGAAATCACATCAATCACTTCTAACTGTTTTAATTGCCTCAGTTATCGCTTGTTAAGTAAAAAAGGTTTCTGTTGGAGCAAACACATCCACAAAGCCTCGTGCCGAGGAGAAAGAAAAGTATCTGGAAGGATTAAAATGTAAAATAAATACCAAGCATCATCTGTGCTTCAATTCAGCTATCCAAGGTAACTGCAAAGCACCTCAAAAGTAAATAAAACTCATAACAGCCCTGAAGATAGGCAAGATCCCTGATTTTATTGATGAGACAACAGAAGGAAACAGTTTAGAAGTCTCATTTACAAATATACACACAGAAAACATTTAAAACCTGAGGCACCAGGAATCTTTCCTCAGAAATCACATATCCACTTCCCAGAGTGCTGGAAAGCTCAGTCAAGAAGCTGCAGAGGATGCTAAAGTGCCCAGTGACAGAGCACTCACTGTGAAATGCCTTTGCTGTGACAAACCTGGCAGCCCCCACCTGCACCCCCAGAGCTCTGTGGCCACGGGCTCGTGTCACCCCAGGAACACTTGGGGACATAATCACAGAGCCACAGGACAGTGATGTCCAGAGCCATGAGATGCCTGGGGTTGTAGCTCCAAGAAGAGCTGCTTGCACCCCCCCCCAGCCCATTCCTGAACACCTGAGGGCCACATTCCTGCAGGATGAGACACAGGGATACTCACTGTGTGCCACCACAGCCTGCTCAAGGAGCACAGATCTGCTGGTGTGACCATCAGCCCTGCATCTGCAGGCTCCAAGCCCTAAACAAAGCCTGGACTGAGCCCTTCTCCTCCTCCTGCACAGCCAAAGCCTCAGCCCCAGCACCCTGGTTCCTGCAGCTGTGCAGGAGCTCACTCCAAGCATCCCCACCCCATTCCTGATGGGGCAGAGAGCACAACACTTGGCTCACCCTGTCCTTGCAATCAGAAGAAAATCACTCCAAATGGCGACCACAGGGAAGCACGAGCCCATCCCACACCAGGAATGCCACCCACCAGAGAGGCCATCTCCAGGAGACAGCTCTGTCCTCACATCCAGCTGCCTCCCTGTGCACACAGGGCTCTGAGCTACAGGGCAGCACTCACATTTCACAGCCCTTTCTGTACAGGAGGTAGAACCAACAGCTCTGGAAGCTGTGGCAGCTGCAGGCTCACCTCACAGGCTCTGGAGTGTCAATCCCCAGGTGTGACACGATTGTGGCACAGCAATGCTCCAGCACAGTCACAGGTACCAATAACCTGGGCCCATCCTCTTGCCTGAAGAAAAGCTAGAGAGCTTCATGAAGAGGCTTCCAGCACTTTCATCCATGGATTTTGGCCAGGAAAAGGCGCCTCCAGCTCGGCAGCTGGAGACTCTGAGCTCCTGGAGCCACAGCAGCAAAGGACTCCTGTTTAACTCCCCCAATGACACTGGTGGGACTTATTTGATTTATTCCCCACAGCACATCCACTTGCAGGTCTGTTTCCTCAGGCTGTGGGAAGGGACTTGTGCTGTGTCCCAACTCCCAGGGCACCAGGCTCCCCAAAAACCCAAAGCCCTGGAGCCCTCACTAATACATATTCTTTCATCTTTAATTCAGGACACCCTGCTAATCTGAACAATATAATTGATTTTCTATGTATTGGACCAATCCAGCACAAGATGAGCACAGCTGTCTGCCTCAGTCAAGAGCTGCTGTGAACAGTCTTGAGATATTTATACACACACACATCTGTTTTCAGCTTATTCTCATTGATTTGGCATTGTCTGTACAAATGAACAATTTTTGCAACATGGCCCCAAATTGGTCATCTTAGCAGTTATTTTTAAAAGCCTGCTAATATTTGAGCTATTATCCAGTAAAAGAAGTAGCAACATAAAATTCATGAAGCATCTCTGTCTCATCTCATTCCCAACAGGAAATTAGGAGAGAGACATTACACAGCCCTATTTTTGGCAAAACCATACTGAGAGACTGGGAAACAACAAAAATCCAGCATTCCAAATTCACTGGAATTTTCTGTACACAAGTAAGCAGCAAAATCTCAAAAACTGAGACAACTGAAAGGAGACAAACACTTTCTACTGTAGAAATACATCAAAATACTGCAGCTCTCCTAATTTACAGGCTGTCAGCAAGAATCTGATTCACCCAAATCTTCAGCAAAAAAAAGGCAGATAATGAAGGGAAACAAACAATTCTCAGAATATTCATGTGTGGAAATTAAAGCATATGGTGAGATTGTAGCTCTACATAGAAAATTAGCATTATCATAAAGGTTTCATTAGCTGGGAGGAAACAACATGTTGTCCTCCCTTTTTGTCACCAAAAAATATGACAAATTCTCCACCTAAATTCATCAAAGCAGATTTTCTTAAACATCCATCCTTAAAAAGAAAATCAGCAGAGAAGGCAGAGAAAAAAAAAAAAACCTACTTCTTGGCTACTTAGACCAATTCCCTACAATATCCTAAGCCTGAATGTTTATTTGGGAAAAAAGCACATGCAGGATATTTATGCTATTTCTCTTGGACAGAAACATCCTCCTTATGCAAAGCTGGTTGTTACATGCAATATTTTTAGACATCCATGTGTGTCATCCCGTTAGGGAAAAAATACGAAAAAGAGTAATTAGACAGGGTGTAAACAGGAAATCTCAAAAAAAACCCCAAAAACACCCTTAAGCCAAAAAAAAAAAAAAAAAAAAAAAGCTGTCAGAATAACACATCTCCTGAAGGGAAGCTCAGGAATGGAGAATTATGAAGGGTCTGGGTCAGGAGCAAACCCCAATGTGCTGTATTCCCTCCAGGAGAGATTTCTCCCTGCCAGAACTGGGCAAGTTACAAAGAAGTCACTTGGCCTATCTGCCACTGACTTCTATTTTTAAGCCTTTTTTTGTTTTAAGGTCTAGAGAAAGAAAATTAAGGGAAAAAAAAACCTAAAGAAAAGGAGCCAACAAAAGCC